TTGGTCCAGAACTCCTGCAGCAGCGTCATTGCTTACCTGTTCATTTTCGAATTGATTTTAACATTCAAAGCCATCCACAATCTCGCCCCTCCATATTTGTCTGCCCTCATACTCGGTTGCACATTTCTGTTCCTTCTCGCACCCTGTGATCTTCTTCCTCCCTCCACTTGTCTGTTCCCTCTGCTTGATTATCGACCATGGGCAATAGAGCATTCAGCCACTCTGCTCCGCGGCTTTGGAACTCACTACCACCTGCCATCAGAAACATTGACTCCCTCACACTGTTCAAATCAAGACTCAAAACCCACTTATTTAAGATGGCTTTAATACTTAATTAATTTTATCTGCACTATTGCTGTGTATATTTTATTATTTATCTTGTTGTTTTATTGCTCTTGTTGATTGTGTGGTGTCCTTGAGTTTGCCAAAAAGGCGCCTTTAAATAAAATGTATTATTATTATTATTATTTTATGATCAGGAGTTTTCCCGGTGGTCAGTGTGTAAATATTTTTTTAAATTGCGAAAATGATTATTTTACATCACTTTTCCACATCGATTGATAAGTGACCTCTTGGGCATTGCCTACAAGGAGAATGTATTATCCTTCCTACCTGTTAAATTTGATCTGTGTCCTGAAACACACCCCTTCTCCTGCTTGCTCTTCTCATTCTAACCGAGGGAGCGATTCGATTGTGAATGAATCCTCGTTATGAATGACTTTGTTTTATGCAGCAGAAGCCCATCCAGCCGCAACCCAGTACTGGGAAACACCCATACACTCACAATCACACACACTCATAGACTATGACCAATTCAGTTCATTCAGTTCACCTATAGCGCATGTCTTTGGACTGTGGGGGAAACCGGAGCATCCGGAGGAAACCCACGCCAACACGGGGAGAACATGCCAACTCCACACAGAAATACCAACTGACCCACTCGAACCAGTGACCTTCTTGCTGTGAGCCACTGTGCTGCCCTAATTAATGGCACATAATAGGAATAAGTGTTTTATATTACAAAATATTGTCCTAAATTGACTGTATTGGAGATGCAGTGCATATGAAAGAGACCATGGTTTATTGGTATAGATCAGGGGTGGCCAACCCTGTTCCCGGAGAGCCACCTTCCTGCAGATTTCAGTTGCTACCAATGACTGTAAAAAATATGGACGACGCGACAGCCCTTTTTCCCATTGAACGCCTTGAGGGCAAAACGCCTGCTTGACGGGCACAAACTGTCGCAAAAGACTGCTGAAATTGGAGCCAGACATGCGCAGAAGGATTGTCTGATGGAGCCAGAGGAGGAGCCGCGAAAATGAGCAGAGTCGAGCTTCCAATCAAACGCTTTATGTAAAATCAACTACGCCCCCCGAACTTCTCAGCATGCGTTTGCTGTCATATCAACACAAATGGATGTAATAACGTTAACAAATATGAGGGTTTTACATATTCAATCGCGCCAGCTCCAGGCCGCAGCGCATAACTTACTCGCGGCGTCGCGGGCTGATTCCGGCTAGCATGCGGCAGCGCCTGCTCGCTCGGCCGCCGCATCTGGCTCGATTGCCTCGGACTGGAATCGGGCAGTGAGTCCAGGCATCCGGAGTAGGTCCAGCAGAGGTAACATTAGTCAGTCTGAGCTCTAAGAGATAAGTCTCCGGCAGGCGAGAATCTAGCCGGAACTGTGTTTTGCTATCTGGGTGGCTAGGCGTGTATCAGCAAACTAATAAAGCCCGAAAAAAGCCCTGAACTTAGCGAATAAACAGTGTTCCACCAGGATCATGTATGTCAGAAACTATAGTTTACTGCTGAACTCATTTTGTCATGGTAAAATAACACAGAAATCGAATAATAACATTTCAGTCTACTTCAGTCTCCTGCCGAAGCTCAGACGCCGCGCTTTGAGAAACTGTCAATCACAGCTGTGTATCACGATGACACGCCCAGCATTGAATTACTGCTAAAAACAAACTGTTTACAAAAATGAAGATCTGCACCTATTTCAGCACAATAACCAGTGCCTTAATCGACCAGAACTATCTTTCGGGACATTTTATTGCAAGTGTAATATTTTTTTTTATTTGGGCTCAAGTCTCCTTCATTAACACGGAGGAGGCGGGCTTTATGACTTGTACTGCAGCCAGCCCCCAGGGGGCGATCTAACGGCCGAAACCTTCACTCAAACGTAGGCTTGCGGCACACTTGGTTGCTACCCATATCAACAGATGTACAGCAATACGCAAATATCTTTACAAGTGAAAACGAATTAAAGGATTAAAATATTACAACAATTATTACTTTCTACAAAAATATACAAACCACTGCTTTCATGCCGTCTTCATCTCGGGGGCTTTTTCAGTTTATTATGACAATTTGCTTTTGTATCATGTTATTATTAGTATTTTGAGTATTATTTATTATATGCATATTTATATTTGTTTTATTAAAAACAAGCTTAGATTTGTCCACTTGTCAGGTTTGAGACCATATGGGGCCTAGAACAGGTGTTTGGATATAACTCATTTTTTGACCACACTTCGTTATCATTGCTCATTTATTTGTTTGCTGGAAATTAGAACTGAATTCAGAAATAGTTTTGAAGCAAATATTTGCGCTTCACAAACGAAATTATTTATGTAGGCTAATGGATGTGCGTACACATGTTTACTTATTCACCAAAGAGAGAAAGTGAAAGTAAAGGCTGATTGGAGGAGGCTCATTCTCGCACTGCAGATGGCCCATTTAACTCTTTTCTCGCTAGTGAAGCGTTCAGTGTGTCCACTTACAAAGTCCGCCATGTAAATATCAAATGCGCCATACCATGACACAACTGACTCTTAAAGGGAATGGGAGATGAGACTGATTGGTTTATTCGCCAAACACACCCATAACTCATTAAGAGAATAAGCACAACCCTGTTAGACCATGCGCCACGGTCCAGAGCGGATTTTCCCGCCCTTAAAATAGCAAAAGTGGATTTGAACATGCTTTTGAGCCCTGCGCTTCAGACTTTGCGCCTAGATCGTTAAAATAGATGTGTATGTAAATGATACACACGTTATTTTATTTCTTCATCATAGTCATAAACACAGTGTTTGCACCACAAACCAGTGTGTTTATAATTATAATGAGAAAATAAAACAACGTGAGTAAAATACCAGTTTGAAACATAAAGCAGCACAGTTAAAGGGATAGTTCACTCAAAAATGAAAAACTCTGCCTTCATTTACATGCCCTTTTGAGTTTATTTCCTATGAAAAAGGCGATTTTCAAGAATAAATAGACAGCCATTTTAGTTGTTTCCTACGTATGTTAAAGTATAACGGTTTCTTCAAAACTGTTTCTTTCATGTTCAAAAGAAAAAAGACCACTAGATGGTGAGTAAATAAGTACATTTTCATTTTTTTTTTTTTTGGCTGAACTATCTCTTTATATCTCGTTTATTCAATCACAAATAGTCAAGCTCATTCATAAACTGGATTGAATATATTTGATGGATGGTGTCTGTCCCTCACTGGACGAGATCAAAACAATTGAATTTCTGCCTGAATCCGATTCACTTGACTTTCGTTATCATAAAAGCAGATGTGCAGGATGGAAAAGGGCCATCATATGCACAGGTGTTTTTTATATATTATTATTTTACCTGCTAGAAAAACATTCTTCATATATTCTGCTTCACTGATGCAAAAACCTGATTTTTAAAGTTTCACATGTTGACATTTTGCGCGCAAATGCAATTTGTCTAGAGAGAGATCATCTTTTATAATTAAATCCCTGCATCGAATGTCAAACGGTTGAATTATATGCAGGGTGCATGGTTTGGGGAGGATTGACCCCCTAATTAAAGCTTGATCCCCCCTAAAGGACGTCAAAACAAGATGTATGGGGGGTCAGTTCTTTAAATCTGAGAAAATGTTCACTCTGATCTGTATTTTAAATAATAATGTTAATAATTAAAATAAAATATGTTAATTTGACCACCCCTATAACGGTTCATATCATTGTAATAATCAGTCTAGGTAAAAAAAAGTCATACAACAGTCTGAAACCTGCATATTTAGAGCATCGTAAGAGTTCACAAGACTGATTTCTCAGAAAATATTAATTTGTTTCTACAAAAACAATGTACACTATAATAGCCTATCCCACAAAACAATAAAAACTTAAATATAGTTTATTAATAAATTGTTTATTTAATAAATATAGTTATTAAATTAGTTAATAATTTAAATAAATACATAAATTTGATTCACTGAAGCATGTATTACAAAAACTAACATTACTGAAAAAATACCCCCCACTCCCGATCGTTAACGTATAATTCTAACACTGTTGTAATATTCTTTGTAATGGTGGTGTTTGCGTTAAAAAAATAAGCCTAGTTTGACGTTTGAAATGAAAATAAATATTCCATGTCATTGTGGTCATCTATGACTTTTTTAATAAGTGCGCCATCATCTGGACAGAGAGATAAACGCAGTCAGAATTACTCCTGTTGGACACTTTTGTGGATTGATAAAACGACACAAATCATCAGTACAGTAGCTATAAATTAAAAAAAAATCCATAATTTAGTTAAATTTGTATTACAGGTATAGAATAAACATTTAATAATAATGACATTTGGAAAATATATTATTGTTATTTTTATAATCAGTCGGGTATTATCTTGAACACGTGTTTAAATGAGGCAGAAAGACTGAATATTTCATTTATTTAGAATTTATTTATTACATTTATTTAACTATACACCTATATGCAACCATGTTATTATAATTCTGTATAATACTACTATAGTATGCTATTCTGTAATTTTGAGGTGGTTTTTTTTTTTGATTGCCCAATCAATAACTATATTTGTTGTTTGGCGAAACTAAATGCTAGGGTAGTCTGAAAGAAAAAAAAAGAAATAAATACAGCAACAAAAAAAAAGGAACTCAAAATAAAACAGCCGTCTTTTATTTTGAAATGACCAAAACAGGATGTTGACGGAGTGCAGACTCGACAGCTGCTATGTTCTCCGGTTGCTATGTTCATGTCGGTTAAGTGAAGGTTAGTTTGTAACATTTGTTATAATTTTTTTATATGACTTGTTATAGGGTTGTGTTTTTAACACGTTTAGTGTAGTATTTGAGTTATAAACATCTGTTAAACTAACGCGACATTTTTGAGCTCTTGTATGTGGAGGTTTCTACGTTGACAATTGTCTCTCGGTGATAATGTATTGTACTTTTTATGCACAGAGCCGTTTCTTTTAGTCATGATATGTTTGAAAGAAGTAACCTACTGTAAACTGTTGTAGACTAGACATACTGTGGAGGGTTTGCTGTATGTCTGAGAAGACATGTCAATGAAATGCATAATGAAGTCTCTTAAATGGCTTTATTGTGAATAAAGTGTATTTTCGTTCAGTAGTGCGTTAAAAAGGCTTTTTACACCCAAGTGTTACATAATAAAAATAGACTAATGTCCGTTTTGACTATAGCCCATTCCAAGTATTACACACCATTTAATACATTTTTATATAATTAAGTGCTGGGCAAAAAAATAATCACATTCCTTTTTTCCTTTTTTAAAATAAATTATTAATTTTATTTAATCATTTAAAAAATATATTAAAGATTTACAATGACAGAACAGTAGTATAACTGTCTCATGTCATAGAACAGGGGTCACCAATCTCGTTTCTGGAGGTCCGGTGCCCTGCAGGGTTTAGCTCCAACTTGCCTCTGCACACATACCTGGTAAGTCCTTGATTACATAATACATATATGTATATAATAAATTGCATAAAAATATATTTCTATTTCACCCCCCTATGAAATCATTTCAATAAATCTAAAGTCTTTGCAAAAAAAAAAAAAAATTTATTAAAGTCATGGTGAAATTATATTGCAATATATTATAAGTATGAGCAATATCACATGAGTAGCAGTGTGCTATGGCTGTATATCAGCACTGGTGGGAGGCGTGCGTTGGCACGAGGCCGCAGAGCTAGTATTTGAATGATTCTCTATAGCAGTGGTCACCAAACTTGTTCCTGGAGGGCCGGTGTCCTGAAGATTTTAGCCCCAACCCTAATCAAACACGCCTGAACAAGCTAATCAAGGTCTTACTAGGTATACTTAAAACATCCAGGCAGGTGTGTTGAGGCAAGTTGGAGCTAAACCCTGCAGGGACACCAGCCCTCCAGGACCGAGATTGGTGACCCCTGCTCTATAGCGTAATGAGAAGCGGCGCTTCTGGTATGTGACATGGTAAGGCTGAACGTGACATGAAATGCCATCCGTCGACGGCGATTTCTCACCAGACCTCTGTTGTGTTTGCGATAAGGAGGGACAAGGCTGAATCCAGCTTCTTAACCACAGCTTCTTATTGGGCTCTATTTTGACGGTCCATGCAAAGAGCGCAAAACGCAGGGCGCAAACGCTTCAGGGCGTGTCAGAATGCGTTTTTGCTAATTTACCGACGGGATGACAGTTTCGGCGCATGGTCTAAAAGGGTTGAGTTTATTTTCTTAATGAGTTATAGGTGTGTTTTGAGAATAAACCAATTAGACTCTCATCTCCCATTCCCTTTAAGAGCCAGCTGCGTCGCGCCAAGAGCGCATTCGCTATTTACAAGACGTAAAGTAAGTCTAAGTGGAAAAACTGAGCATTTCACAAGCAAACAGTTAACAGTTTTTATTAACAGAAAACTGTTAAACAGAGCATCTACTGCGTGAGAATGAGAGATAATATATCACTTTCACTTTCGCTCTTGGATAGGGAAACCTTTACGCACAGACATCAATTAGTTTATAAATATTTAATTGCGTTTGTTAGGCGCAAATATTCGTTTCAAAACTATTTCTAAATTCAGTTCTAATTTCCAGCAAACGAATAAATGAATAATAATAATGAAGTGTGCTCGAAAACCTGAGTTATATCCTAAAACACATGCTGTGCCCCTTATGGTCTAAAACCTTACAGGTGGGCAAATCTAAGCTTGTTTTTAATAAAATAAATATAAATATGGATATAATAAATAATACTGCTAATAATAATAACATTATACAAAAGCAAATTGTTATGAATAAACTGAAAAAGCCTCCCGAGATGAAGAAGACATAAAAGCAGTGATTTTTCATATTTATGTAGGCTAGAAAATAATATGTTTTTTAATATTTTAATCCTTTATATTTATATCCTATATCTATTCTTATTATATCCTATATATATCCTTAATATTTACATTTTTTCATATGTAAAGATATTTGCCTACTGCTCTCTTGTGCGTATTAAGCAGTGCGTAAGCGAGGCGCAACTTTGCCCCGGAATTTAGACCGGGTTTGTTTTGGTCTAATGAAAAATCTATTGTAGTTTCTCAAAATAACAACGTGCCAGCGGTCCGCCCTCAGAACGCCTTCCTTTTTAGACCAGAACGCCTATGGGCGCACATATGAGCGCTAATGCATTTGCTATTTAAACAGCGTAGCGCAACGACTCAAAACGACTCTTGCGCCAAGCTGAAACTAGCAAACAAGTATTGCGCCGTGCCTTGCGCCACATTGCACCGGGTGTATGATAGAGCCCATTGACTCTATCCGGTCCACCTTAAAAACCACGAGGCTTCCGTTTTTCAGCTTTTTATTCACACTGGAGAACACACAAAGCAAGAGCTTATTATGCGGTTCTGGTGCCATCTTATGGATAGACAACATCAACTGTCTTTGGCCGCCGACGAGATCTTAGAAATTGTAAATATTTTAAAATAGGCACTATTTTTACAAATAATCTGCAAAGTTACAATCTCAAGAACTACATTCTCAACTAAAAAAGCCTCAAAAGTATATTGTGTTGTCTAAACAGTAATATTTGTCAAACTTTAGTGTCTGCTTGTTGCTGGCTGTATGTGGGCGGAGTAATTCACAAAGGGTAAAGAGGCTGTACGAATGCTGATATTACTTAAATATATCACGGTTATCAGACAATCAGATTCGAGATCCAGACAGAACTTTTCTATATATATATATATATATATATATATACATATATATATATATATATATATACATACATATATACATACATACATACATACAAATATATATATATATATATATATATATATATATATATATATATATATATATATATATATATATATATATATATATATATATATATATATATATATATATATATATATATTGCAGAGAAAAAAAATATCACAGTGTCAGATTTTCCAATATAGTGCAGCCCTAGTATATAATACAAATTCTATGTAAATTTAAATATCTACAGTATGTAACAAAATGGTTTTGTACAGTTTTCTTCTATCACATATACATAATAAATATATAACAGGGTGTCCGCGGGGTCTTAAAAAGTATTAAAATTTGAAAAATCAATGTAGAGAAATTTAAGGCCCTTAAAAAGTATTAAATGCTAGGCAACCAATAACCCCTTTCAATAATATAGTAATTAAAGATTCAGTGTAATTAATATTCACTATTCATAATCTATAGTATTCTTAATAATGTGTCCAAACTATTATTTGACAATAAAACTGTAGACAGGATAATGCATTTTTCTGGTGATACAACAACTACAACGTTATTTTATAATTGCTTTTATTTATGCATTACCTGACCAGCTAAATTATATTTTGCTTCCATGTGCATTTGTCCCTCTGTGTTCTGTCGTTAGGTTGTTCTGTCATAGGTTAGTGTTTTTTATGTATTATATTTTAGATTATTATTGTAGTGTATTGAATTGGGTGATTAGATTTTTTTTCTTCTCTTCTGTATTTTGTTGTAGTTTTGTTGCAGTTTTATAAAAAGCAAAAAACACACAAAAAGTTTTGTTTTAAAAAAAGCTTTAAACGCTTTTTTGCAAGGTAATAAATTTTACATCATTTTTTATTTTGCAACATCTGGTTGTCTGCTAAAGTTTGCCTGAATCAAGCCTGCAAATATCAGGATGCTGTGTAATTTATCAAATCAATAAAATCTTGCTAGATTTGACAGTGACCAATGCAACACCATTATTTCTGCAGTTCTAAAGGCACCGACCTACTGAATTAGCTAGATTTAATAGACTTTTATATACTGTATGAATAATGTTTTTGTTTTGGATTAGTTTCTTACATTCATATTTAGTAAATATACTGTAAGTTAAAATCCCACCTTCAGCTTGGAACCTAAAGTGGTTATAATAAGGTCTTAAAATGTACGGAAAGAGTGTTAAAAAAAGTCTCAGAAGGTATTGGATTTCACTCTCAGATTCCTGTATGTACTTGGTATAAAATACACTCGCATAACAAACTTTTATTTTGGATGGGATTAATCTTTGCCCAGCACTAATATAATTATATTAAAAAGATTTTTGTGATTTTAATAACAGCTAAAATCAGTTTCTTTCTTATCTTCTAATCTGTTCAATGATCAACCCTGCTAAATAATGTACCAGATCTGTTCAGTCAAAAAGAATACTGTAGGCAGAGAAATGACATGCTGTAGTAGCTGTGCTGGATAGTTTAAGACAGTTTTTGTTTCTGATTTTGACATTGTGTTTCCTCTGGTGGCTTACAGAAACTCTTTTTCATAAACTAACTTGTACCAACACATTCTGAGCAGACAAATTTAGCTTGTTTATCCAAAACAAAAGATAAATATGAAAATCTGGAAATTTAGCAGGTAAGTGAATTGAAAGAAATATAAACCTTTTTATTATACAACCTTCAGGTCCAAACCTGGACCATACACCACTAAGGCGTTTTTCAGGGAGCAGGTGTCAACCAAATGCACAGGTATGTTTGCAATACTAAGAGGTGTAATATAAAATATGATGTATTTTAATTCTGACATCTTTATTTTTTCAGTCATGGAAGACGACATACAAGAAGAAGTGCTCTCAGAGTTCAGAGAGAAGCGTCTGGGCGGCTGGCAGATTTTGCAGCTGACGGCAGCAACAGGTCTGACGGTTTATGCAGTCTGGGCAGGAATTTTAATGCCAGGGTTTCGCCGAGTGCCGCTCAAATTACAAGTGAGGTTTAATGCAAATGCATGCTTTGATTTTACATTTGCTTTAGTTGTGTGTGCATTAATTATTATTATTAACCGCTACTGTTTCAGGTGCCTTACATACCAGCAAGCAAAGCTCAAGTTTCCAATGTTATGACTCTGATGAAGGGAAGGTCGGGAGGCATCGCTGATCTGGGATCAGGTGATGGCAGGATTGTAAGTTGTAACTTTTTCATTTATTTTTGTTTAAGCATTTGTTGCATATTTTTCATCAAGCCTATGGGAGTGAAAGTCACACAACAGAATTGATCCTTTTCACATTTCCGAGTTTCTCAGCAGCAGAGGTCATCATAGTTATGTATACTTAGAGCAGTAAATGGGAGAGGATCACAAATAAATGTTTTAGATTCCAGTTTGCCCAAGAAACTAAAAAAAGAACTCCATGATAGTCGTTTTATGACACTCAAAAAAGTGTGAAACTGAAAATTGCAGCCAGATTAAACAACAATGTTAAATTTACTGTCCTGTCCATGAATTATGCATTACAAACACCTCGCATAAGCAATAACCTTTTAAAAATTGAAATATTGGAAAACTTTTGAGGATTTAAGATGGTTAAGATCTTTAAATCAATCTTCACAGTCTTAAAAGGGTCTATATAAACATGGAATGTGTGTCTCAATTTTAAAAAGGCAAAATAATAATCAAAATAATAACATAAGAGAAAACCCACGATACAATTAGAATGAAGAATAAAGCAAGTTTTATATACAGTTGAAGGGAGGAAAGTTTCGATAAAGAAGGTGCTCAGGACAAAAAAAAGTATCTTACTAAATAGGAAAGCTAACTAATTATTATTAAAGACAATAAATTAAAATACAATCAAAACACCTTAACTCCCTTACTAACACAAACAGGTGAAAAACAATTCGAAAAAGAAAAATGGCACTGCCTCTCCACTGACACAATCCCAAGTTTACAAAAACTAACTAACAGAGAGAGAAAGAAAAACAGAAAACAAGACCAATGCCCCCTGGGGCCTTACATAAGATTAAAAAAAAAAAATGTTATGCTCAAAAAGACTGCATTTTTAAAATCAAAATGCACAAAAGACAAAAAAATTTAGGAAGTTTTAAAATCTAATTTATTTCTATTAATTCTCAGCATCATTACTCCACGTTCTTCAGAAGTCATTGTAGTATAATGCTTGATAACATTATATTATTACTATTTAAGAGTTCTGAATTAGATGAGCAGAGAGAGTTATTGTAACATTGTAAATACAACTTTTGAGTATTTTAGTATTTCTTTAAAAACTATTCCTTGCCCCATATGGAGCCAGATCAGTCTCAAAAATGTATTTATGCATTTATGAACATAGAGCACAGTTCACTTTTACAAAATCCAATTTGTATATTCAAATCCGTTCATAAATACAACACACAATTTGCTAATTGGCACGAGAAGAAATCATAAATATTTTTGCCAAATGAATGGATTTGTGTAATTTTAAATTGGGTTTTAAGTTTCCTAATTGGATTTGTGTATTTTTGAATCATGTTTTGAATTTGCGAATTGTATTTGTGTATTTTTGAATTATCTTTTGTATTCAGGAATTTAATTTGTGTATTTTTTAATTATGTTTTGTTTTCAGGAATTGGATTTGTGTATTTATAAATCTTGTTTTGAATTTACGAATTGGATTTGTGTATTTTTGAATCGTGTTTTGAATTCATGAATTGGATTTGTGTATTTTTGAATCGTGTTTTGAATTCATGAATTGGATTTGTGTATTTTTGAATCGTGTTTTGTATTTACAGATTAGATTTGTAAATATATTATTTTTGAGACCAAGCTTATGAACAGTAGTGCGCATGCTGATGTATTGTAAATGTGTGCAGGTGTTAGAAGCTTGCCGTCGGGGTTTCTCTCCAGCTGTCGGTTATGAGCTCAACCCCTGGCTTGTTCGTCTTGCACACTTTCATGCGTGGAGAGCTGGACACCATAGAAGTGTTTCTTATCGACGAGAGGACCTCTGGAAGGTACCGTGAACATTAAAACACATAAATTTATATAATACACTACACTCAGACAGAATATATACTATATAGCATCTCATAAAAATCCCCAGAGAGCTTGTCTTGTATAAATTATATATGTAAATTATAAATACATTTCCTCCAACATTTTCTGGACTGTAATATGTCTTCTCCTTTAAGGTACTTGCTCTATTTAGTTGATACATCCAGAAATGTAGTCTCCTAAAAATTGATTATATATGATATTGTTTTATTTTTTTTGAATAACTAACCTTTGCTCACCATGAATGTGAGTCAGACTTTCTTTATATACATTTTGTTTTCATAAATCATTGCAATTCGCCACTCTTTGCAATTGTCTGTACGTTTTATGGTATAGTTCACCCACAAAAAGGAAAATTATTTACTTACTTTCTGTCCTCTTGATCAAACTAGTTTAAGTTAAGTCTAGCTTTGTTGTCATTTGTGGACATGCAGTAGAAGAAATAGTTGTGTCCCGCAGGACCATGGTGCTACATAAACAAAACCTAATCATAAATAAGAACACAACACTGGCTATTTTAAACCTATACAGTACATATCTAACAAGAGGCAATCTAACTATAGATATACATATACTATAAATACTTAAATATACATATATCCGAATGACTACAAGTACTTTTATATGAGGAAGAGCAATATTGTGCAAGATATATTAAGGTTAAAGAAATCAAGTAGTGCAACATGATTCGTGATACATTTACAGGTAAGAAAAGAATGAAATCAGTGTGCACACATCTGAAGAAAATCTTGAAGTCAGGTGCTTGATCGAGCCAAACATAATAAAGACAAAAGTAAAGAAAACTGGCACACTGCCACATTAGGTCTCAAAAGACAATTTAATTAGATATTTTGTTTGTTTCCACTTCATTGGTTAATTAGGGTTATCGTTGTTGGCAGGTGTGACGTCTTAAATTTGACCATATCTAGAGTTATCTTGTATTTCCTGTGTTATATTCACAGGTAAATATCGTTTACCTCATTGAGTCCTTGTAAGGACTAAGTTTAGGTAAAGTGTCCAGTGCAAATAGTAAGAAAACAGTTTTGACAGGTGGTTTGTCAAGCCCACTCACCTGTGTGAGGCACACAGAAATGCACAATCTTTTTTAGAGATATAAAGTGATTTTAAAAACATATCTGGTGCAAATATGCAAAACTGGTGCAAGTGTCTATTTAAGTGTCAGAGAGATGAAAGAGTGTGTTTTCAACAGGTGGTTTGTCACATCCACTCACCTGTGTGAGGCACACTCAGAAATGCACAATGATTTTCTAGAAATATGGAGTAATTGTAAGAAAGTGTCTGGTGCAAGTGTCTGTAAAAGTGTCAGAGATGAAAGAGTGTGTTTTTTACTGGTGGTTTGTCAAACCCACTCACCTGTGTGAGGTAGAGTTGTCACGATACTGGAATTCGATACCAATTGGTACTGAAACTTTTAAAAACGTACATTTTCCTGCTAACATTTGTGCGCATTCTTAAACAGTGCTGATTTGCCATTGTGACGTGCTCAACTGAAATGACTAGGATTGGCCATGAAGATCATCGGTTCACCAAACTCACCGCTATTTACAGAGTGTAACCTCAGATACAGGGACACTGGTGCGTTTTAAAGTCGCGAAGATCAGCTGGTTTGTCTATAAGCTGACATACGAGCGATCCACTGATAAATCGCAGCTCGGTGTCCCTGTTACACTCAGCAAACAGATGTGAGTTTGGTGAACTGATGACCTTCACGGCCAATCGCAGTCATTTCTGTTGAGCACGTGAACACAATGGCAAGTCAGCGCAGTTTAAGAACGAGCTCAACAATGCCCAAATGTTTGAGGGAAATAGCCCTTTTTTTCAAACTTCAGTATAAATTAATACCAAATTCCAGTATCGTGAGGCACACTTTAAGTTTCTTACTTATGATGAACACAAAAAATATATATAGAGGAATATGCGAAAGCAGCATCCATTGACTTCATTCTCATATAGAAGAAGAATCATATTTATAAACAAAGATGTGCGTAATTGGCTTGTGTTTGTGTTTTTTGCATTTCCAGGTTGATCTCTCAACATATAAAAATATCACCGTATTTTTAGCCCCCAGTGTGGTGAGTATTGCAGTGATTCCTGAATTAATTAATACTATGCAATAGCCTTAATGTAATCAGTGCATGAATTTGCATCCTATTATAGAGCCTCATGTACCATATACATTGTGTGTTTATCAGTTAAGTCTTTTACAAAAGAAGTTGCTGGCTGAGCTTCCGGAAGATGCTCTGATTGTGGCGGGACGCTTTCCCTTTCCTGATTGGACGGCGTGTAAAGTAGAAGGTGAAGGCGTGGACAGAGCGTGGGCCTATCAGATACAAGAACTGAGAAAACAATACGAGTCAAAAGATAACCATGTCTGAGAATCGTTTTTTTTAACCCTCCGCTTTCTTATTTTATTAGTTCTTATCACATTTTACAGAATTATTACTATTTTAAAATATTATATGTATATTTTTATTGAGATCTTAATTTTAAGTTAAGTTGATTAACACAACACACAACTCTCTGCATGAGTGTGTGGGAGTTCCTTAAAGGGTTTGAGGCATATACTGTAGACGTGGAACACTTCCTGTTTTTAAATGTGACCCAGATTGTGTTATGTGTACCGTCTTTCAAGTATTTCTCTTTTATTGAAAAAGGGAAATAAAGCACATGCATTGTGAGTCATCTTTGTTTAATGGATTGTTTGACATAAGTGCATGCTTGTGAATGTTTACCTCGCAATCTGCTGTCTTACCCAACATCTACATAGCTTGCATAATGTGAAGCCGTTGGGCAAACCACATTAAACAACACGCAGCAAGAGAGTCGCAAGTGCTTCCCTTTCATGCTACGAAAGACTGAGTGATTCTCACAGTTCAAGAGGAACATCCGACCCGCAGAAACAAAATGTACCAGAGAAATGTATGATATTACCAGGTATTTTTTTCTACAGTTTGCCTATGTGCATGGTTACAAATCAGTGCCTAATGCACACACACACACACACACACACACACACACACACACACACACACGTATATATAAAAATATTTTAATGACAGCAAGAGATACTCAAAATTAACATTATTCTAAAAAAAATAACATTTCAAAATTAACGGAATATCAATTACAAGGTTTTCGAATGTTTTAGATCTGTTGTTTGATGAATTGTATATAAATGCAAATTTACTGACCTCTGGAAATGATAAAAGCAAAAATCCAGATTATTATATTTGACCTGGCCTGGAAAAATAGTCTATCTCCAGTTTAAAATATCAGTAACCCTATATTTTTTAGTGTTTTTGAATGAACCATTTAAAGGAAAAGTTTATCAAAAGGGTATCAAATACATGCTTAAGTATTTATATTTTAATAAATAAAAACAAACTACTGTTTTAGTTCTCATCGATCAATTAACTAAATTGACGTCAAAGCGACGTCAAATTGACATCTAGCATTGGCCTCAAAAGACACGCCAACAATCAATTACAAACTGTTCTGTAATTGATTTTTGATGTCGATGTTAGATGTCAGTTTGGCGTTGTTTTGACATCAAGGTAGTTTGAATGCATTGTAAAGATACAAAATTCCATTATAAATTTAATATATAAGTTTAAGCTGAATAAAATTTTTCTTATAATACTTTTGGTGTTAAAAAAACAGTAAAAAAGGAACCAAACAACAACCATTCAATGGAAAAGTTGGTCAAACACACTTAAATGTTTACATTTAAATTAATAAAAACAAACTACTGTTTTAATTCTCAGCAGGCAAAGATGCGAATTGATTTGAGGTCAGTTAAATTAAATTGATGTCAAAACAACGTCAGATTAAGATCTAACATTGGCTCCAAAAAACACGTAAACAATCAATAACGGGACTGTCCTGTGATCAATTTTGATGCCAATGTTAGATTTCAATCTGACTTCGTTTTAGGATCAATTTAGTTTAAATGCTTTGTAAGCATACAAATTTGCATTTGTAATTGAAGCTTTCACGTTAATAAAACTTTTCTTATAATGCTTTTTGTGTAATTATTTTAGTGGTCAAAATGGCGTCGGTGTGTGAACGTCAAATAGATGTCTAAGTTTTGACATCAAATCTATTTGACTTTTTTGACGTCATCCTCGTTGTCAATTTGAAATCAAGGTGTCCACTGGGTGTGGGATAAAAACACGTAACGTTAAAATAATAGCTAACAGAAACCTTTTCCAATTTTTAAATATGAATAGTGTATTTATTAAAGAATCTATAATAAATAGATTTTGTATATTAGGAAGAGATCTCTCGCGTGAGAATGAGCCCATCTGAAAGACTGAAGAGGGCAGGATGCGTCTGTGTGACAGTGAGGCAATACCTCCACACAAGAGTTCATACTGTACTCAACATGTGTCTTGTTGTGGCCGGTTTCATCCGGCCCGAGATTAAGATTTCACTTCCGGTAGTTTAATGGTTAGAGTACACCGAGCATGAAAAGTAACTACTAACTAGTTTCAAATGACAGTTTACTGAAAAGAACAGGACCCCCTTCCTCAAGATGGCGCTTGACGGCCCAAAACATCGAGTTCTCCATTGAGCCCCATTCAAATCTCAGAGGCGTTTGTCTTGTTGGAGACGTTTGTAAAATAATAAGTATGATCATTTAAGTTAGATCAATGCAAATATATATATACCTGATACGTTCGTTTAAACTCAATGTTTCTGTGCTTTATAAATTGATTTAAAGGACGAACTGGATTAGTAATCGCTAATGACTATGATTGGTACGATATGACCAGCGTTGAGAAAAGTAACACGTTCCACATGCAGATGACCCGTAAATTGAAAGTAAAATGACAAATTATTGGATTTTTGGTATACTGTGTGCTAATTTTTCATTTGTTGCAGAAAGCTTAAAACAAACAACCTAAATAAAGAAATACAATTCTTTTACATTTTATGACCATGCTTTTGTTTGAGCTTCAAACAAACAAATAATATGTCAATAATTAGATGCAACTGCTGTAAATAAATAATGCTAGTTTTTAATGCTTATTTATTTGTTAAATGCAAACTTTTTCTCCTGTACTTTGATAAGAGTGTTTTTTTAAGAGTTGGGTTCAATATTATTAGCTTGTCCAACAAAAATGGTTAGAGGTTTTTAGCAAAATGTCTTCTTTTAAGTTCAATAGAAGAAAGAAACTGATACAAATTCTAGAACCACGTGAGGGTGAGTAAACTTTCGTTTTTGGGTGAACTACCCCTTTAAGTCATTTTTAAAAGTAATAAAAAGTGTTTCACAGTGATTTAGGCTCAACTACTCCGCTATTTTCTTACAAAAAAAATAATCGCGAAACAAATAAAACTCAAACTGCTAAATAATAAACGCTACTAGTACCTAAAAGCTCCCATCTCGACCAATTGCATTCAACTGACGCTTGAAGCCCCGCCCACGAAAGTAAGCCACTCCCTCATGCCGTTGCCCTTCTACCATATCGCATTTCTATTTCTATGAGGAAGATGTCACTTCCGCCTGTTTAATGGGCAGATGAGAGGAAGCTACGAGAGGCCTGCACGGAAAGAGCGATCCTACCAAACCCAAGGAGTGGCTCTGTCAGCTTCTGAGGGCTCAAATTGAGCCACCGAGCCCCGCACAGCGCTACCGCCGCCCGCGACGTCAACATTAGAGTCCTGACACATTTTCACCACCGCTGTTTTGTCGGTCTCCTCAGTGCTTCGCAGTACTTAAATGCGAGTTGTCTCCGTGAATCCGGCCAGCGTCAGTTCCAGTCTCGTCCCCTTTTAGGTTTGCGCCAGATCAACAATAATAACAAGTGTCCCGGAGCCCACACCCCGGTGGTTCCACCGGGCGTACAGTAATGCGGGCTCTCGGTGTTTTCCAGAAGGTGAAATAACGCACAAAAGGCCCAGAGGAAGCATGAGCGAGCAGATCCAGATCCAGCTCATATTATAGCCTAGAACCAGCTCAGAACCCGGGCATGGTGAGTCTACATTCATGCATTTATATATACCAGTCACTCATAAATCGCTTTCATATATCATTTTATGCATATTTATGTACATATAATCAGTAATATTTAACTTTTTAAGTATGTTCACCAATGCACAGAGCTTGCATTGCGTTAGGAACGTCTGTGCTTGAGTATTTATGTGTAAACTATCATGTTGCATTGAGCTGAAAGCCTTGATTTAATGCACACACCTGCCAGATGTGCCGAAAATGCTTAAATGCTTATAACATGATGTTTTGTAACAGGCAGGTAGCAGTTTTAGATGTGTCAGGTGTGAAACATGCTAATTGAACGCATGTTTGTTTGTTTTTCTGTCATTATATGATGGCGATGCGTTCATTAAGCTGATTCTGCATTGATATGTAACGGTGTCCTGTTGAATTCACGACTGTCTGATCAGTTTGAGGAAATCAAAGGCATTCTTCTGCAGCCGTGACGTCACACGCAGCGTGTTGTGACTCATACGAAGAATTCAGAAGCCTTCACATCATCCTCATCATCATCATCAGCAGCAGCAGCAGGCCACTTCCTGTATTCAGGCTCCAGCGTTTTGCTTTTCTGAGCATTTAGTCACTTTTTAATGTGTTAAAGTACTCAGGATAAAAAAAGGAACTGCTGAGAATAAAAACAACATCATGCGTCATTATTAGGCATCAGTGGTGTAAAGTAACAAATTACAAACACTCAAACTACTGTAGTTGTAGTTTTCTAAAAGTTTTTAGTTTAAAAAATGTTTACTTTTACTTCCACTTGATTACATTTTTTTGTGCTGTATCGGTACTTTTACTTTACTACTTTCCTTCAAACTGCAGTTTAAATTTTCTTGTCGTTGGGGATTAGAAAAACCAGTCCTGGGATTTCTGTCCTAATCTCAAGACATGGGCGAGTTATAATTGCAGCAAACTGTTTGGAAGACAGATGTTTGCTGTATGATGACCGAAATTACCTTAAACATCCAGCTGCCTCAAGATGTCAACATGACGTCAGATTGACGTTGTACCCCAACGTCGTGGGCATGTTGTATTTTTTTTGGAAATGAAAATCAGGTTAACGTCAGAACTCAATGGCAGGTCAATGTCCAACGGCCAACCTAAAATCAACCAAATATCAACGTCTAATGTTACCGTTTGACGTTGTGTGGACGTTACCACTATGACGTGTATCAGACGTTGGATTTTGGTTGCCATACCTGACGAATAAATGTCAGTATTTCACGTCAATATGACCCTTAAGATGTTGGCTCGACGTTTGATTTTAGACCGTTTCGAACACAACCTAAAATCAACCAAACATCAACGTCTAATGTTACCGTTTGACGTTGTGTGGACGTTACCACTATGACGTCTATCAGACGGTGGATTTTGGTTGCCATACCTGACGAATAAATGTCAGTATTTCACGTCAATATGACGCTTAAGATGTTGGCTCGACGTTTGATTTTAGACCGTTTCGAACACAACCTAAAATCAACCAATTATCAACGTCTAACGTTGTTACAGCTTGACGTTGTGTGGATGTTACCACTATGACGTCTATCAGATGTTGGATTTTGGTTGCCATACCCGACCAATAAATGTCAGCATTACATTAGTATTACAATATGTTTTGAGTAATATTTGTTATTATTTTAAACATGTGTGTTTGTTTGCGTGTGTGTGTGTGTGCGTGTGTGTG